CCATAAGAAGTATTTTTGATTTTATGATAACAGGCCCGTTCACAACAACGGTTTCTGTCTTTTGTAAGAAATTGAAAATAAGCTTACTTCACGTTTGTATTACGGATTATAGGAGTGGATTTCTTACGGATGACGTTAACAAAGAAAATTTCACATTGATCTAATAATTTCCTGATATAAATCTACCACCGTGATAGGGGGTGGCAACACCTGTCATCAGACTCTGGTACCAGAATCTCGTGAACCGTTTAGTACCAGGAGCTACCTCCCATAGYACTTGAAAAGTGTTTTTGATATCATAATAACAGGACAGTTCACAACGTGRGTTACTACTCTCTCTTTTTCTGTAAGAAATTGGAAATAAGTGCGTCGAAATCGTAACGTATTCTGAGATTATTTCATTCATAGGTCATAAGACACGGACCATAATAATTACTGAGCATGCGCATTTACTAATGCTATGTTAATGGCTATGATAACCGCGTCTCATGTCAACCATAACAATTCCTTAACGTGAACGTAACGTCTGTTAGTCACTATGATTGAATATCTGATCATGTGACAACAGTTTTTTTCAGGAGGGGGGGGAGCTTGAGAACCCAGAGCGGAGGGGGCAAAATCTAATTTTATGTGCTTAAATAGGGGGAGCAACGTGTAACTAGAACTTTAATTGGAAACTTAAAAATCAACGCTGTCTGATTCTGTGATTTTTGTCCAAATATTTATTGAAGTTAAAAAATTCTCACGTGCCACGATCGGCGACAAGAATAATAAATAAATCCACAGGAGGGGGGGGATGAACTTTTTTAGAATAGAAACAAGAGGTGAATACTTCAGCGAAGAAGAGTTCATGGTTTTGATTCCCGTTGAAGCACTAAATGTTTTTGGGGCCATCCATTTACTAAACGATAATTCAATTCCATCTATTCACCATTGCTCAGACTWTATTTACAACACAAACGACATTTTTGATACTTTCCGATATTCTTTATTGGTAGTTGTTGTTGTAATATCAAGAGCGAATCTTTATATTGTTGAAGTTGCTATATATTTCTATCATGATCAGAATACGGTGTAACAGTAACCATTGTCACAGAATACTCGTGGGTTGTGGAAATGGACCAGGCATTTCTGAGCACTTTTATGATTTGACGTTCGACGTTTTTAAATAGCCATTTTACCATCAAAACCAAGGACAATAGCCTATACTTGATAGTTTTCCTTTTGACCAAATTCAGTTGACAATTTAAAGCTTCTTCACCGCTCGGCATAATATACTATCGACTTGGCACTTAGTTTTTTTCCACAAAAGCTTATATGTCCGGGAGTCAAAATAATTGGAGAATGTAAATCCAGTYTAATCAAAGATACTTTACTGTATTTAGGTGTAGATAGTCTTCCTTTTGACCAAATTCAGTTGACAATTTAAAGCTTCTTCACCGCTCGGCATAGTATACAATCGACTTGGCACTTCGTTTTTTTTCACGTCTGGTCACGAAAAGCTTATATGTCCGGGAGTCAAAATAATTGGAGAATGTAAATCCAGTCTAATCAAAGATAGTCTTCCTTTTGACCAAATTCAGTTGACAATTTAAAGCTTCAAAGGGTTAGAGAAATGAGTGATAAGAGCAGAAAAGTTAATATCTGTAATATGTCTACGCTTGCTAACATACAAAATATGCTATGCGTCCTAGATTGCATCCTCTTCCTCTTCAAAAAGATAAGAATGCCTCCCTTTACACTTTTGAGATGACATTAGAACTCCGTAGATAGAAACGAATATGTGTAAATTCAAGAGATCCGTGAGTAGAGGACAATGAAAATAGTTTGAACTTTCACGATATTTATCTAAATTTCAACTGGAAAAAGTCGCGCGCTTTAAAGGTTGTAAATTTGATGTAAATATGATGTAAGTGTCTAAAATTTTGTAAATTTAATGTAAATGATTTCCATCAAATTTACAGACTTTTGGACACTTACATCATATTTACATCAAATTTACAACTTTTAAAGCGCGCGATTTTTTCCAGTGTTCTGAATTTTTTGCACACAATTYAGGCTARCACWGCGTAAAGGMGATCGCGAAACTCAACTGTTTATACTTTAAGTTCTTCGTACACAGCAATACGTTAKTGAAAGGGAGTGAAGYAAACTCAACATTGTCCTTTTTAAATTTACTTTATTTCAGATTGTTGCTGTCCTTTCATTACAAATGTTAAATGGTCCTTTTACGCTAATAATGTTTTGTTGAAATGCATCATGGGATTGACCTTCATCCTCCATGGATTTTATCAGAACATTAGAAATCCGCCATCTTGGTACTCCATACCATGATGCTTTTCGGCAGATCATATATGACGTCATTAA